GGCAGTGCACACCGTGCAGTGGACGTGGGGGTGGCACCTGCCATACCTGTCTTCTTGGATTGGGAGTGTCTGTCCCCCACTGCCCACGAGTCATATGATGCTGTGGCCTGTAGCTGGGCCCCCAGCCTATGCCTCCCGGACACCTGTCGCCCTCTGTGGATCTCACTGAGAAAAATGTATGCAGTGAGCTCTTACAAAGTACAGGAGGGAGAAGACCAGCAGCTCAAGGTCTCCTCAGGGCCCTACTCCCTCTGTCTTAGGGTTTGAGGTGTCTCTGTGGCCCTTGGTCTGATGAGTACTACCCCCTCCTCCCTGTGACTGCACAGAGCACTGAGAAACTCAACTACTACCTCTACCCACCCTTTGCCAGCCTCCGTCCCCATCTGCTGGCCCCTGAGCTCTCTTAGACTCTGCCCCAAACCCTAGCAGGTCTGTGCAGCGGCCTCTGCAACCTTCGCTGCAGATCAGCTCTGGGGTATGGTGGGAACACACGCCTTCCTTCTTCCACCTCCTGGGCCAGCGTCTGTTCCACTTACCAGCATTCCCAGCTGTACAGCCAGCATGGCCACCCTGGCCTCCAGCTCTGGTTCCTGCTCAGCCTCCCGCAGTGCTTGAGCCCCACGAGCATGGCCCATGTTCCCTAGGCACACTTTGGCAACGTCTAGCCGCTGGGTCTTCACACACATGCGTGCCATGTTCTCCCAGACAGCCTCACTGCAGACAGAAGAGACAGGGCCCTGTAAAGGTCCAGGCCAGCACTGCAGGCCCCCACACCTTCTCCCTCAACAACCTGTCCACATGTAGGGCTACCAAGGAGCTTCAGGCATGAAATATTGGTCTTAGCATTTAAACACCTTTCTTTCTTTCTTTTACTTATGTTTTTTGTACCAGGGATCGCATTCAGGACCTTGAGCTTGCGAGGCAGGTGGCGGCACCACTGAGTTAAATCCCCGGCCCCAAAACCCCTTTCTCTAGATACGCAGAAATCTAAAGGTAGCCTTTCTTCTCCACCCTGAGTACCAGCTGAATGTACAAGGAAAGGGTATGGGTGTGAAACTAGTGGTTTCTCACTGGTCCAGACAAAGCTGTCCCCAAGTAGAATCTCTGGGCCTCTGCCAGGATCCTGTGGGACTTCTGTCAACTGGGGGTATAAGGATTATCCAAGACATCACTGGTCCTAGAGATCTCAGCTAGTAATAGCACATGGGGTCTAGCGTCAAGTCCAGAATCTCAAGTGAAACAGTCTCATGCATGGCTCTGGTTGGTTCTTCAGAACTCTATGTTCATGTATGGAACAGACAGAGCCTCTATAGGTGCCCTGGGTTTGTGGGTGTAGGTAAGGTCAGTGTGTGAGGAATATGCAGTTATTTCACTAACAGCATGTGATTTTTTTCTTTCTTTCTTTTTTCTTTTTTTTTTTTTTCCTGGTTCTAGGAATCAAACTCAGGCCCTTCCGCTTGCCAGGAAAGTGTGGTGCCACTGAGCTAAATCCCAGGCCATTTTTTGGTTGTTGTTTTTCCTCAGTACTGGGAATCAAATTCAGGACCTTGCACTTGCCAGGCAGGCATGGCACTGCTGAGCTACATCCCTGGTCCATTATTGTTTTTCTGAGTCGGGGTCTTGTTATGTACTGTAGTTCAGGCTGGCCTTAAACTCACTATGTAGCCCAGGCTAAACGCAAACTCATGGCAATCCTCCGGCCTCAGCCTCTTCAGTGCTGGGACTATAGGTGTGTGCCACCATGCCTTGATAAGACTTGATTATTATTAACTGTCCCCTGAGGATCCATTGTGAGGGTGCTAGGCAGGGCACGGGGCATGGCCTCCTTTTCTTTGCCTTGTCCTGACAGCAAATGCTTCATGTTTGTGTCCAATCACAGAAAAAGACCTAAGTAAGCAGAGAAACCGGGGAGCTGAGTAGTCAGAGCTGGCTGACAATTCCCTGATGTCCTGCTGACAGCCACAGCCTTTTCTACTTTCTTAGGTGGGAGACAAGACCTGGCTTGGTGTCACTGTTTGCCCTGGCCCTCTGATAAAGATTTGTCCATGTTGGATGGGCGTGGTGGCGCACACCTGTAATCGCAGCACTTGGCAGGCTGAGGCAGGAGGATTCCTGTGAGTTTGAGACCAGCCTGGGCTACATAGAGAGTTCCAGGTCAGTCTCAACTATATAGTGAGACCTTGTCTCAAACCCCCCCCAAATTTGTCCATGTCACTGAGACACCTTGCTATTTGCACACCTATCTCCACTGGGATTCAAAGTCTCCATCAACACAGGGTTCTGAAGAAAAAGCTCTGCCAGTGCAGCCCCCATCCAGGGAAACAGCTGGGAAGGCGAGGACAAGACTGAGGCCTGTGCACAGACTATGGGGAGGGCAGTGCCCCTCTTTCAGCTGGGCCTAGACCTGCTGGAAGGGCCCAGATCCAGAGAGATAGCTTCAAACTTCCTCCACAAAACCATGCTGTGCTCCCAGCAGCTGCCTTCCAGGACAGTCTAAGCCCCCCACGCAATTCCTGACATTCTTTTTGCATGCAACTTGCCGAGGATGGGAACAGCTGAGACTCCAGTGTGAAGCTCTGGGCTTTGTGCATCTGACACATTCCAAGAAGCAGACACCGCCCTCCCCAGCCCTGTCCAAGCCTTGAGAATTTCCTGTTGTCCGAGCCAGTCTGTGGAGAGCAATCTCATCTGCATTTCATCAGTTCCTAGGTGCCTCAAATGAGAAGCAGATGCTGCTGCAGCGGAGGGAACAGGCTCAAGATGGTCCTGGTTCCCAAAGAACTTGAGTTCTGCGTTAGCTTGTTTGGACATCCTGTGTCAGGACAGCAGGAACTAGGGAACGAGCAGCCTAACCCTAACTACAGCATGCTTGCCACCGCTCAGTGTCCTTGCTGCTTCTCTGCTCTGGGTGAGGCTCCTGGTTTGTCCAAGTAGGGAGAAGATGCACATACAGGAGCTGCAGTCAGACCACAAGGCACAGCCGATGGCAGCAAACATCAGGAAGAACAGGAAGGGGCCTTCGTGGAGGAAAATGAAGGCCCCTGGCCCGGCTTCAGGTCTGCTGGGCATGTGCCCTGTGCCAAGCGGTTACATGAGTCTCAGATACTCTTGAGAACGGCATTACCCTCTAGGAAGGGTCCTTCCTTACTTAAATTCTGCTCTTGGGTTCATTGCTGTCTTGTGTCCAGCCTCTCACACTAAGGCCACAGGGACCTGGAGGCCTGATGGAGCCTGTGGAAGTGCGAGGAGGCCAATGCTGGAGGCTATGCACTGAGACATCTAGGGTCCAGCCACCGAGGGATGCCTGGGGACACCTCTGGCCACCCTCTATGAATAAAAGCCAAGCCTTGGCCTCTCCCACGCCACCCCTCCCTCAGCTGCAGAAAAGACAAGTGGGTTAGCCCAAAGGACAATCACATGTCCTCTGGGTTTTGAAACTGTGTGCTTGCTTCTCATTGGAAATTAGCCATGTAAGACCGCCTAAAAATGAATGATTTAATTAGGGAGGGAAATCGATCTCTCCTAATGGAAACTTACGGGAAAATTTCCTTTTGAAAGGCATCTGCTGCAATGTGTGGTTAGGAATGTTGAATGTCAGAGAGGCCACATTCCAAATATGCTTAGTCGGGGGATGTGCAGGAATAGTTGCAGACCCAAGCAAGGGTCTTCTGAACCATGAGGTAAGCAGAGGGCAGGCAGCACCATGGTGCTCTACAGTATTCCTTGGCAAATTTTTAGAGCCAAGAACTTGACTACAGAGCAAAAGAACAAGACAGAACACCAACTTCCTTGAAGAAGGGAAAGTAGAAAGAAATATGCTGGATATCCACTACAGACTCTAACAGGAAAGGCCCTAAGATATGCACATAAAGTCCCTCAGGGAATGGATGGACAGATGTTTCTCACAATCAAAGAATGGTCCAGTGCTGGTCAGAGATAAGAGTTCCTGCCCCTCAGGAACTGGGAAGCCTGACTTGACACGGGGACATGTAGAGCTGCATTTGAACAAGACAGTGACCCTAGGAAATGCAGGTGAATTTCAGGGTAGCCACCTGACCAGGGTTCAGCATGGCAGCACACAAGAGCAGGAAAAGATCAGAAGGCTGCAGTGTAACCACACAGGGCCTAGCTGGCAACAGAACTCATTGTGCCTGAATAAAGCCTTGGGTACCTGTACTTGAGAACAGCATAGATGGAATATGGCACCTGTGTCTCTGTTCATTAAGGTAGCTTTGGAGCCCAGGTAGGGTGGGAGCCCTATGCTGGGTCAGCATCTCTGGAGATAGAATGCAGAGCATCAGCCCCTCCTGCAGTGTCCATCCTCCAGCACTGAAAGCTTCTGACACTGCAGAAGTCGTTCCAACTTTCAGTAGCTTAAGCTTTGCTCGGCAGCGTAACAGCACACTGGGCTACAACTGTAGTTCTTTGGCCTCAAAAGAGTGACTGTCACAGCAGTAGCAAACATGGCTGGCCAGAAACCACGTGCTCAGTTTCAGGCCCTGTGTGCGGCCCCAATCCTGTATGTCCAGAATCCCACACCTTCTTGCCACCCCAAGGTCAATCCTAGCCCGTTCTCCAAGGCGGCCCTGCCCCGTCTGGTCTGGGTACACTTGTTCCCCCGAGGCCAACATTCTGCTGGTGGGAAAGAGCCTGCCTGAGCACTGCCTCCTGACTTTGCTCCACCCTCTCCTCCCTCCCTCCCAGCACTCGTGTCCCCACTTGAAGGCAGGATCCCTGTGAGGAGCAGCTCCGGTACCTCATGGGCTCGTGGCGCCTAGTGCACAGAAGGAATGCCTGGGCGCCTGGCTCCTCAGAATCCTGCCTGCCTATGGTGTCTGCAGCTTTCCCAGGTCCTGAGCCCAGCAGCTGGCCAGGCTTAGAAGTGACAGGTGAGCCTAGTGGCTGCCTTCTCCTCTGGGACAGGAAGGCAGGGAGGGGGTCTGGTGGGGGTGGAGCAGGCCTGAGAAGTCTCTCCAGGCCTTTCCCATCAGGAAACACATCCTGTTAGTGTCTGGCTCTGTGGCAGGGCTGCTATTTGTTGCAGTTGGCTACGCCCTCCCCCTCACCAAAAACAGCCTCAAAAACAACCATTTCCTCTGGCTGAGAGACAGAGGGAAACTTGAGCTTACATACGCGTGCGCGCGCACACACACACACACACACACACTCACTTCCTTGCAGCAGGCGCTCTGCTTTCCAGGACCTGCCACTTGTTAGCGGAGGCTGGAGGCTCCGGGACAGGGCCCAGGCAGCAGAGAGGTGGCTCAACCTGCACTGCTCCCACGGCCCTGATCAGATCGCCTCCCTCAGTAGGTTCTAAGGAGTGTGACCAGTCCAACTCCCTCACTGTGCTTGCCTCTTGAGTTACTTTCTGTTTTCCACTGCTGCAGGCAGAAGAGGTGCATGTTCGTGGCCTCCCTGGCCTCTGGTTCCCAGAAAGACGGCATACTCAGAACTCTGGATTCTCGCCGGGGCCCCTGTTTCTTCCCCGAGATGGACCTCGCAGCGACTGGCTTCAGTACAGGCCTGGCCCTACTCCAGGTGCAGCAGGGAGGGTAAGGCAGGGCCGTGAACGGCTCACCTGGACCTGTCCCATGGGCCTGTCTCCACACAGCCGCCATCTCTGTGTGCCTGGTGGGAACTGCTATACTGCCTTCAAGAATGAGTGGTGATGTTCTCTAGCCACCCCTAGTAGCACCGTGGCTCTCCCTGGATGCAGAGCAGCTGACTAGGACTTGGGATTCTCTCCGAGATAAATGGACAGCGCTGACAGTCAGCTATGACTGTCCAGAAACTTGTGGCCATTGCTGTGCTGGTGGCCTTGGTTTCCCTCATCCTCAACAATGTGGCTGCCTTCACCCCCAACTGGGTGTACCAGACATTGGAAGATGGGCGCAAGCGCAGTGTGGGGTTGTGGAGATCCTGCTGGCTGGCAGACAGGGGCCGGGGTGGCCCTAGTCCTGAGGCCAGAGCTGGGCAGGTGGACACACAGGACTGTGAGGTGCTGGGCTGGGGCTCGGAGTCAGCAGGTTTCCAGGAGTCTCGAGGCACTGTCAAACGTGAGTCTGCTTGTGTTTCTGTCACCTTCTGAGGGGCTGGGAGAGGGGAGGCTCTGCCCAGGCCAGCAGGGGACAGGGAAGCTGGGCCCCACGCCCACCCTTACACTAATGAGCAAGGCTGCATATGTTTTCCTGCTCAGCTCAAACTCTACCTCTGGATTATCTTGTGGGGAAGTCACCTAACATGGTGGTGACTTTATGTATAGCCAAAGGATGGACAACTAAAAAAAAATCAAGGAAATATTCTCCTTGGCTGGAAATACATATTAAGCAGGTAAAACAAACATGGAAGAGTAAGAATGTGTGACTGAGTCTGACTTTGTGTCCATGGTGGTCAGGACCTTTAGGGCAATTAGGATGTAAGCAGGGAGGCTGCGGTGGACTGACAGTGGCTGGGATGTATGGAAAGGGACCAGGGGAGGCTGCATGATGTCAGTGGGCAAAGTGTTGCCCCACTGTCCTAAGGTCTGTTTACAGTGCTGGAAGCTGGACGTCTGACTTTAAGTCAGGTTTAGGGCGCAAATGTGAAGACACTTGCTACCTAGTATGTAACTGCTGGGGGGGACCTGACTTGCAGGCCTCCCAGTTCTGTTGCAGGACACGACAAGTTTCAAGGTCAAGGGTGCTCTTGTGCTGAAGGCAACACTACTCTTTAAGGAACAAGAGACTGAAAGGCGAGGCATCTTTCTGTGCTCACAGGGAGTGCTAGCCACCCTGGAGTAATGCGCTGCATATGACTCACCGGGCAGCCCTGCCTTTGACTTTGGAGCTTGGGCTGGGGAATATCATTCCCATTTCATAGGCAAAGAAATGGAGGCTGGGGGGAGGGGATTTAGCTCAGCAGCAACTGACTAGCAAGCGAAAGTCCCGAGTTCGATTCCTGGTTAAAAAAAAAATGGAGGCTGGCAATAGGACTGGTAGGGTAGGCCTTCTCCCTTGTCCTCCACAGGCAGGGGGGAATAACCTTCTTTTGAGAAAGATCTAATCATATGAACATTTTCAAAATTTCTATAAGCTCTCAGAATATTGTGAGAAGCTGGATGAACAGAGTTGAATTTGGGTTTCTGTGTGATGAGTCAGCAGAGAGCCCTTTCTCTGAATTACATGATTATTTTGACTAAGAAGGAAGCCAGGAACCCCATGGCTCTGTGCCTAAACCACTTATATGGGCTTTGGCTTTGCTCAGCCTTGGAGGCCTTGGTGATCAGGAGAAGATGCAGCCCTAGGTCTTACTCTGTGCTCTGGGACCAGCAACGGCTCACCTAGGGATAGAGTCTCAGTCAGGCTCAGCTCTATCTTGGGCCTCAAGGCTTCCTGATGGCCCAAGTGTCCACTGGCAGGTGAAAATTTGGTATGACTTTTCTCTCCCTACCTCTTGAGTCTGAGTAGTCACAGGGCAGATGGTGTAGTCCTGGAGCATTTTGTGTAGCTGTCCCTCTACTGTGATCTGTCACTACAGGCCAGTGGGAGACACAGGGCCCTCATGGCCTCTTCCAGCCTGTGTCCTTGTGACCATATGGTGGCCCTGACTGTTGCTTTCCCACAGCCCACAAAGCTCCCCCCGTTCTGAATCTGTTGCTCTGACTAGAACATCTCAAAAGCTCCTAGGCAATTCTTTAAGTACTCTTCTGCAGTTAATATGGCATCTGCGGGTGACAGACTCTCAGTGAATCTAAGCTACAATTATTTGTTCAAACAATAGAAATGTCTCTGAAAGCTTCTTGGAAATGACAGACAGAACTTAGGAAAATAGGCTAAATGGATAATTTTGGTTGCTGACAAAACTAACACACATTGAGACTGAAAAACGATAGGAACAGGCAGCTATAAGTCAGCATTTCCTGAGGGGAAACTGCAAATCCTAATCCGTGGGCTTGGGCCATGGGCCATGTGGCTCTGAGCCAGTGGTCTCAAGGTGGAGGCATCGATGTTGGTTCTTCCTGTCCTCTCCCCTCAATGAAGTTTGCTCCCTCTGGTGTCAAATACTCCAAATTAGCCTCACATGCTGCTCTCAGCACTGAAGCCCCCTTCAGTCACACAGCTTAGTGACAGACTCACTGCTGGAATCTACATGCTCCTGTGTGCCCAGCCGACGGATGGCTACCCGCTGCTGCTTTAAATCACGCCTGCGGTCAGCCTTAAAAGCACTCATGCAACATTCCCCTAACACAGTCCAAGTGGCTCTTAAAATCAGCCCTCCAAGAAGGGGCAAACTGCTCGAACATACTGCCTGGATGGAGGAGTCAGCTCAGGGCTACTAACGTCTTTTTTCACATGGAGCTGTTGGTTCTTTATAAAATCCTCCCACACCCATGACCAGCACATCAGACGGTGCTGCCGGGCTGACTGTGTGGTTTCCTCACAATTCCATCCTGAGAGCCAGTCTAGGGAACAGTGGGGCTAGAGGACAGGTAACATAACCCACACAGGGGGCCGGGATTTAGCCTAGTCGTTCTGGTGCCTGCCTCACAAGTGCAACGACCCGAGTTTGATCCCCGGTACCAAAAACTGAAACAAAAACAAACATAACCCACACTGTTTTTCATGGGCACGAGGATATCCTTAGTTTCCAGATGTCACTGTTGGGACTGGGAGGACATCTGCCAGCTCTCTATGCCCTGAGGTCCTTCCTAAGGAACAGGGGACAAGCATGTGGACCACTCCATGATTCTCTGAACTTTGGTTGGGTGCTGTGCTGGTGGGTGCCCTGAATATGCTGGGTCAGGGGCCATGGGTAGGTCCAGTACTTGTCTAGGTCCAGGGTCTAGGCTACTCTCTCATTACCCTGGGTATTACTGAAGAGGGGTGGGGCAGACTCCCATTAGCTGGCATTCTGCACCCTGTGGCCATGAGGGATTTTACTTCTGACCAGAGACTCTCTTCCCTGTGAGGAGCTGGGGAACTGGAAACACAGGGTCCACTTGACTCTTATTCTCTGGTCTTCATTTTCTGTCTCATCTTTCACATTCATTCTGTGTCCCACAGTCATGCACTCTGCTAGCCATCCAAAGTCTCAGGCCAAGCAAGAACAGATGAACACACAATCGAGCACTGGGGCAGATGAGCTTCACCACAGTATTCCCTCAGGGGAGTCCCCACTCCTGCTCTCTGGAGACCCCGAGCATCTCCACCCACGCCTGTGCCATGCCAGACATCAAACACTCCTGACTGGATCGGGTGGCTGGCTGGCATTTGGCTTGACCCTCTGCTTCGCCAGATACTCCGTGCTACATTCTCAGAGGGACCATCTGGGGTACCCGGAAACAGATGAAAGGCCGAGTGGCCTCCTGGGGTGGATGGGACTGGGGCTGAGAGGGGCGATTCCATCCAGAGCACTTCCTTTTCAAGCAGCACGGTACTCTGTGAGTGTTCCCTGTGGCAATCCATAGGCAGGGGAGGGCAAAGGGGCCTCCGGGGTGGCTGGCGGTGGTGTGCCTTAGCCTGTAGCCCAGTACTGAATGCTTGAAGTAGCCAGGAAAACAGGAAAGGCAGACAAATAGGAGGAGGAGGACAGGCGGTCAGGGCCAAGAGCAGAAGGACAGGCTGAAGGTTGGTCTGAGCTGCCTTCCTGGCTCTGGCAGTGCAGTCTTCTGGCCTCCCTGAACCATGCAGAGAGGGCCTCAGTGCCACTCTCCTGGCCAGCCCAGTCCTTCCTTATTCATTCAGACTTATCCTGGCCTTTCAGGAAGATCCTGGAATGCCAGCTTTGCTGTTCCTCTACTGTGAACGCTACCCATTTTTTTGGCGGGGGTACTGGGAATCAAACTCAGGACCTGGTGCTTGTGAGACAGGCAGCGGCACCACTGAGCTAAATCCTCAGCCCTCTATTATCTTTTTTGTTGTTTTTGTTATGGGGATCGAACTCAGGCCCTTGTGCTTGTGAGGCAGGTGCTGGAACCACTGAGCTAAATCCCCGGCCCCTATTATCTTTTAAAGTAGCAGAATCTCTGGAGGGTCACATAAATGGTAACAGTGACTATAAGAATGTTAAATGTACAGATTATGGAACATCATGCAGAAGGCCAACTTTCAAGTTATGGTCACACAGGATTTTCTAGATTGTATTGGAAAGAGTCTTTAGAGTCCTAACGTGTAGACAGGGCCTCCTAAAGACTGAAAGCCTGGATTGGGCTTCCGGCACACAGCATGTAATTACCAGTCAGGACTATCTGGGAACCAGTATAAGCAGTCAAGAGAGATCTGGCAAATTGACCTAGTCCCCTCAGCCTTGGAAGAGAGGACTTTGTGGCCTTGGTCCCCCATGTCCTGTGTCTCAGTGAGCCAGACAGTGTGGCACATGAGTCCCATGCCACCAGGCTGCCATGCTGCTGCTCAAGAACATTCCTACATCCCTTACATTTCTAGCCCTGCATCCTCACTCCTCTCTCCACACTATTCTGGATTCCAGTGCCACCCTTTGTCTGTTACCATCTGTGCCTGGGCTAGGGAGGATGGGCTCACCAGACAGCTCTGGGCCACCAGACCAAGCTCTTGGCCTGTCTGTGTAACCTATTTTCCTAAAGCGTCACACACGTGTTAGGGTCTCTAGCAATCTAAGTGAAGTTTTGTGGTTCTGAGGATTACAGACCACAAGCTCTTGGTCACCAGCAGTGAAGCCTGTTGGTGGCTGCCTGCTTTACTATAGGAAGAGTAGGGGAGAGGCAATGCCATGGTGCTCCAGCAAAGCAAGAGGGTCCAGTGAGTGGCGACTGCTGTCCTATCCAGCAGCTCCCCTCTTTCTCTGGTGGTGTAACTATTGGGTCACTGTGTATGGACTGCTGTGTGTGATCGTCTAGTAAATTGGGGGCCTCATGTATACATGCAGCTCTCTTGTGTTGTGCCTGTTTACCAGTTTTTTTTTTAAATTTTTTGTATTTGTTTTGGTACTGGGGATTGAACTCAGGACCTTGTGCTTGTGAGGCACAAGGAAACACTGAGCTAAAGCCCTGGCCCTTGCCTGTTTTCTTGAGACAGGGTCTCTCTGTAGTCAAGCTGGTCTGGGACTCAACCATATAGCTCAGGCTGGCCTCGAATTTCAGATTCTCCTGCCTCAGCCTCCAGAGTGCTGCTATTACAGACGTGTGTCACCACAACCATCCCGGCAGCTCTTTACGTATGTAGCATATGGTAAGGCCTACTGGCCTCAGAGCTGGTTACATCACCACCAGGTTGGAGAGGGTATGCTGGAAAAGCCTAGGACATGGGAAGGGCCCCTCAACCTCCAAATGACAGAAGGAGATGGCACAGAGGAAGCATCTCAAAACACAACAGGCAGAACAGGCAAACCCGTGGTGGTGGGAAATAGCACAAAACCTATGAAAGACTGTGACTCCACAGCCTAAATATAGACAAGACAGAGAGGAGTGTGAATCACAAGCCCTATGCTGGCTGAAGACGGGTGGGTACCCATGGGGCCCTGGGCAGAGACAATGGTCCCATGGCATAGAACTCCATGAGCACATCCCTGCTTTACTCGTGTAGGGTGGTAACTTTCCTAATGCTTCTTTAGTGGCCTAAGAAAGACCCGAAGGAAAGGGGACCACACTTCATTGGGCTTTAAATAAATGCTCAGTGCCAACCCACGCTCCTGCCCACCCAGCACATAGATGTTTTTCCTTCAGTGTCTCTCAAGTGATCTGGGTGGTGAGGAGGCCCCTGCGCACAGCTGCTCCAAAGAGCAAAGCTGAGACCAAGAAGTGAGCAGACATCTCTGGCCAGCTGGAGGACACTTCTGAGGCCTGGGGACTCTCACCTCGAGGCACACATATCTTCTTGCAGTTTTACCCCACTCTAGGTGGTAAGCACTAGTCTCAGGGTCTGCCTTTGGTGTGCAGGTGAGGGGAGCTGGGAGCTTGGCCATGGGAGAGAAGGTGGACAGACAGGGACAGTAAAGTGGTAGAGTTAGTTGACTATTGTGTGCCCAACAGGGTACAGGGTCTAGCACAAGATGGGAGGAGAGACTGATGCTAAACCTGAGAGGTTTAAGCTAAACTGTCAACCCAAAATGCATTTCAGTAAACATGGAGGTAGAATCCTATAGAATTGCTGATATTAGCAACAGCAATTCAAACCCTTCAAGCCAGGTGCAGTGGCACGTTCCTGTTAATTCCAGCTACTCAGGAGGCTGAGGCACAGGGATTAGAGATTTATGGCCAGCCTGGCAACTCAATGAAACCCTATCTCAAAATGAAAAAATAAAAAGGGCTGGGGATATAGCTCAGTGGAGGGGTGTCCCTGGACTCTTTCCCTAGTCACACACACACCCACACCCACACCCACCCACACCCACACAGAGTAACCTCTTCCAACCACTTAGGAACTCATAAAGTGGCCTGTTCCCTCTCCTCACTGAAAACTATCAGTGATGGCCAAGGTTGGACACACTCATCCACCCATGCTTGAGTAGACCACTGCTAACCTGCTCCCACCACCTGACTCACCATCAGTGCTGCTGTGAGGAGCAGGCTGAGCACCTAACAAGTCTGTAGAAGCAGGGCCCTCCTCAAGTCACAAAAACTACTCCGGCCCTGGTCAGTGAGACTGGGGTAAGGCTCTGTGCTTTCCTGGCCCCATTTTGGCCAGAATGATAATCAGTGGTCATCCAAGAGGAAAGTCCTTTCAGGACTCTAAGATTCTGCTTGTTCTTACACTTGTGATTATGACATTTTCAATGATCTAATTTTAAAGATGAATTGTGTATTTCGTTTTCAAACTCTGGAAGAATACCTTGAAACCTCAAGACTGGTATTTTGAAGAGTCACTATTTACAACAGTTTAACTTTGTGAATCAGAACCGCTTAACAGCCGGGAGTGGTGGCACACGCCTGTAATCCCAGCACTCAGGAGGCTGAGGCAGGAGGATCACTGTGAGTTCGAGACCAGCCTGGGCTACATAGTGAGTTCCAGAGCAGTCTGAATTACATAGTGAGACCCTGTCTCAAAAAAAACAAAAAAACAAAAACAAAAAAACACCTTTTTACTAAATTGCTCAATCACAGCAAGGAGAAAGAAACACTCAGGTGTTCTAAATATGCACAGCCCCCAGCCTCCAAGCACAGACCCTCTCTTCCCACTGTGTTCAAAAGACTTGCCATAGATTCTGGAATAAACTGGAGCCTACAAAGGCCACCAAGGCTTTGCACAAGCTTCTTTCTGTACAGGGTGTTGATGGCAGAGAGCAAGTTTCTCAACCAGACGTACAACCAGCTAACCCTGCGGGCACTGCCCTCCCTCCTCAGCTGACCCACCTTTAGCTTAGGGCCTTCCAGTGAGGAGGGTGGGAAGGATGAGCAAAGGAGAACGTAGGGCAAAGCTCAGGCACCACTCTGGCTGCAGGAGGTTAGCAAGAGCAGAGTGGAGTGATGGCTTCTTTTCTGGCTCTTTTTGGTACCGGGGATCGAACTTGAGTCCTTGCGCTTGTGAGGCAGGCGGCGGCACCACAGAGCTAAACCCCCAGCCCCTAAGTGATGGCTTCTTAATGTCAAGTCTTTAGCCTGTATGGAAGGAGGGGGACAGCATGGAACTCGCAGACCCATAAAGGGCTCTGTAGGGTTACATGGAGCAGGGGACCCTGCACTGCCAGCAGACTCCCCTTCCCATTTTGCACCCACTCTGTAGTACCTTTGTGGAACAGGTACCTTAAAAAGAAAAAAAATCCCAAAGAAGGGCCAGTCCCCTTTGGGATGCAGTCAAGCTGGGGTTGTGAGGAGCCTTTATGGGCCAGGGAGGTGCTCCCAGAAGATTCTGCCCAGAGAAAGCCTAGCAGAGACCCAGAAGGGGAGTGGTCTTGGAGGGTGGAGGCCAGGCCTGCCCTCACTGACCACCTCTTCTCTCTCTCATCCCACAGTACAGTTTGACATGATGCGTGCCTGCAACCTGGTGGCCACGGCAGCGCTGGCTATGGGTCAGCTCACTTTCGTTCTGGGGCTGACAGGCCTGACTCTGATGTCACCTGAGTCCCAGTGCTGGGAGGAGGCCATGGCTGCTGCGTTCCAGCTGGCAAGTAAGTACGCAGGGTAGTCATCATAGCTGGCAGGCCTGCTGGGACCTGCTGATGTGACTGGGGGGCTGGAAGGGGGGCTGCAAACTGTCCCTCTAAACATGGCCACAGGCAGACCCCATGTGTCATACCCATTGCTAAAAGTAAAGCAAGGCAGGTACAGGTACTCAAGGCCCAGGAGCTTGAGGACGTGACCACCTGACTTTGGATCTGACCCCCCACCTTTTTTTTTTGGTTTTCTTTGAGACAGGGTCTGACTGTGTAGTTGAGACTGCCCTGGAACTCACTATGTAGCCCAGGCTGGTCCTGAACTCCCAGCGATCCTCCTGCCTCAGCCTCCTGAGTGCTGGGATTACAGGGGCGCGCCACCATGCCCAGCTTTTACCCCTTTCCATTTTAAAAGCAGCTCTAGCCACTGGAGTGACCTGCTTTACTTTTCCAAGACTGTTGGGATCATCCCGACTTGTCCTTCCATTGTCCCTGTGGCGCACCTGGAAGAGGGTCAGTCTGTGCTGGGCAAAGATGGGAAACCTCAGGCCTGACCCCAGCCTACTGCTATCTCCCAGTAGCCAAGGTATGGGGGGGGGTCATCAGAGTGTGGGCTCTGCTATAAGCGTAGCTTCTAGGGGCCCTAGCTGGGGCCAGGGCAGGCCCTTCTCAGTAGTAGTAGTACAAGGCAAAGCGAGGAGAATATGCTGCCCAAGAGTAGAGAAGGTGCAGGAACACACCCATGCTCCTGTTATGGTTATTAACATAGATGCAACCCTAACCTGGCTTCCCTAGTCCATGGGAGCAGACCTGGGGTGAGGCCAGGGATCCCAGCTTTGAGGAGCGCTGGGTCACCAAGAGCAGTCTCCTCTAAACACTGGGCTTGCAACAGCCTCCCCACTGCTGGGGTAGGACCTCCTGTGGGCATAAGGGACAGAGCAGAGCACTGATGTATGTATGTACGTATTTACTTACGGTACTGGGGATTGAACTTGGAACCTTGAGCTTGCAAGGCAGGTGGCAGCACCATTGAGCTAAATCCCTGCCCCACTGTGCTGTTATAATGGTGAAAGTGGTAGCGCTGTCAGAAATGATCCATAAACTTGTTTTGGGAGGGTCTGGAGCAGTGCTGGAAACCATGACAACTATCCACCTGTAACTTCCAACGACAGAGGGTCTCTGTCTGTCCTCTGGGCTCAAAGGATCGTGGTCAACTAAGAGAAGTGGGAAGATTGTGCTGCTCACTGGGGGCAAGCCAGCTCTTGGTCCATAGGACTAGAGTATAGGGAACCTTTCCTTTATGGTGCACAATGGTAGTCTGTTCCAGTGTCAAATGCATGGTTCCAACAGAGGAAATGGCAGGATGTCCGAAGTGAATCATTCTAGGAATAATGGGTCCCGGGCCCTTCTCTTTCTTGAGAAATGCAATTTCCAGAATGGGGTTGACAGGTAATCATGTGCTGGGAAGTGCCCTGGTGGGAGTCAGGAAATTGGGCTAAGCACTATGAATAGAACGCAGTGTTGTCCTGGGCAAGTCACTTCCCGACGCCCGGTCAGAGGAGGGAGGGGGCTCCTGAAGTCCTGGTGGAAGAACACAGGACTGGGTGGCAAGAGGCATGGAAACATATTTTAGTGGATGTGAACTAGGGCAAATCCCTGAAGCAACTGCACTTTACCTAGCTGCATTTCTGCCTGCTCTGAGAAACAGTGAGATAGGTGCAATGTGAAAGAGGATTAATTCTGCCTCATTCCTTCCTCTACAGCTGAGTGTAAAAACACAAACGTTCCAAGTGACAGGACATGTTTAGGAAATTGCCCTTTTTGCCCGCCCTCTGCTGACTGTAGGGCCATAAAACAGAAAAGCAGTTTTCTTTGTTTTGTTTTTTTGATACCAGGGATCGAACGTGGGTCCTTGCCCTTGCAAGGCAAGCGGCAGAACCACTGAGCTAAATCCCTGGCCCTGTTTTCCTTGTTCTTAATGAAGCCATGGAACTCTACCATGAGCAATGATCTGAAATTCCATTCATTCAAGAAGGAAATGGAAGATCTAAAAAATGTGATTAAGGTGGGCATGGTGGTGCACACCTGTAATCCCAGCACTTGGGAGACTGAAACAGGATTGCCCTGAGTTTGAGGCCAACCTGGGCTACATAGTGAGTTCAAGGCCAGCCTGGACTACACAGCAAGATGCTATTAAAAAAAAAAGCCAGGTGTGGTGGCAACTCTCCCGTAGTCCCAGCACTTGGGCACTCGGGAGGCTGAGGCAGGAGGATCACTGTGAGTTTGAGACCAGCCTGGGCTACGCAGTGAGTTCCAGGTCAGTTTTGACTACATAGTGAGAAGAGCCTGCCTCAAAAAAAAAAAAAAAAAAAAGACTGGAAAAGTTATTATAAATTAAAAAACATTTTTTTATTTTGTTTTGTGAGACACGGTTTCACTATGTAGTTCAGCCTGGTCTTGTACTATGTATCTCAGGCTAGCCTTGAACTTCTGATGATCCTTCTGCCTCAGTCTCCTGAGTACTGGGATTACAGGCATGTACCATCAAGCCCTGCAAAGTTGTGTTTAAAAAAAGAGACATTTTAGGGCCGGGGATTTAGCTCAGTGGTTCCGCTGCCTGTCTTGCAAGCACAAGGACCCGAGTTCAATCCCCAGTACTCACCCCCACCAAAAAAAAGAAAAGACATTTTAGTGGCATAAAAAAGAAAAGTAACAGGCCAGGCATGGTGGCTTATGCTTGTAATCCCAGCACTTGAGAGACAGAGGCAGGAGGTTTGCTGAGTTTGTGGCCAGCCTGAGCTATATAATGAGTTCAGGGCCAGCCAGAACTATAAAGTGAGACCCTGTCTCAAAAAAATAACTTGACTATGAAAATGACTCCTTCTAATAGGATAATCAAACTGATTACTGTCTTTCTTACTACATTTACTACATTTCCCTTGGACTCTAGAGTTATTTGAAGTGCCGTGAGTCTGGCATGTCAGAATGGACAGCCTACCTCCAGGAAACTTGTTTCAGGAGAAGAATGTTGCTCCTAAATAATGTGCTTTTTAAAAATAAAAAACGGGGAAAAGCCCTCCATGAAGAAAAGAATGACTGATCTTTTAGCAAGCCTGGGGTAGAAGCACTAAGAGCTTCTGTGAGGGGGAGTCCAGGAATACCAGACCCCACTCTAAATATTTCTAGGCCAATTTGATTTCTGAAGATTGGACCACTCTCTATCCAAAAACCCTCAGACAGGTGGAGCACAATGGAAAAACCCAGAGTGCTGAGCAGGAGGCTTGGGTAGTTCGGCCAGTGTCTTTTGCCTTCTCATGCTGCCTCACTTCTTGGTGTCTGACCATCATCCACAAGTCTGTTTTGCCCAAAAAGGAAATGCATTTGGCCTGTTTAGACTCATTTCATTGACAAACAGTACAGAGAGCAGCTATGTGCCTTTTTTCTATCACACTGCTAATTTTAGCACTGGGTTTTTTCCTGTGCTTGGGTCTGTTTTAAAGCCAGGGAGAGACTATGGGGCGCCAGGATGTCCTGTCACAGGACGAGGAAACGCCTGCTATTACCTGTTGTCAAGCAAACCTCGAGTCCTAGTGCTGGGGTGAGATGGGTGGGGAGGCGGGGAGAAGATGCTAATGAAAAGAGGAAGGGAAAGTATTAAGGAATGGAGAAGGCTCAAAAAAATCTGGAGGCTACCAAGAAGAGCAATAAATTGAGGGGAGAGCTCCTCAGTTGCCCTAGAGTGAGGTAGGGGTCTGTGCGTACACTCAATTCCTCTGGCACCAGTGCCACACTCAGGAGACCCCTGGGCTGGTAAAAGACCCATCCCTCCAACCTGAAGCACAGCAGTTCCTAGGGACCACAGGAAACCACTATTGGTGTGGGTCTGAAATGTGAACTTCAGGTATCACATGGCTTACCAAACACATTCAGCCGGCACATGCAGTGGTGTTTCCGATTTTTTTGCAAGATCTTCTAAACTTACTTTTTATCTTTCGGAAAAATTCTTTTCTGTGTCTTATTCTATCTGGTTCTCGCACACTGGATGCCTCTGTGAAAACATGCACTTTCCCTGGGAAGGCGGCACACTGTGTGTGAAAGAAGCAGGCCTGAGATGTGCAAGAACTGCGTAGCCAGGAGATGGTGCAGCCGACACTTTCAGCTGTCATCTAGCAGTGCCTTACCAGTCTCCTTGCTCTGTCTTCCCAGCTTCTTCCTTCCTCCTCTGCCTCTCTTCTTGGTTCTTTCTGTGGTATCTGGTACCACAGCAGGCACACAATGCCCGAGTTTTCCTGTGCTCTCCTTCCTGAGGCTCTTTCGGGGAGTGACTGCTCCATCAATCTGTCCACTGGCTCATGCAGATGTAGCACACAGATGCCTTCCTGATAGTGCCAAACAGTGACATCTCCACTCTTGTGTTCGTCACCCCAGTTCGAGGATCTGTTATGAATGGATCCATGGGGGCTGGCACCTTTCTTGCTGGCTCTAATCCCCTAGTGTGAGCAGCTGAGCATGCAGGCCCTGCCATCTAGGCCTGAGTGTTACCTGACCTCTTCACACAGGGACATATTGCCTGCTGGGCTTTCTTTGTGGGCCTTTTGCTACCTTCTCTTTTTCTTTTCTCTTTCTCAGGGCCGTTTTACTCTCCTTTTTTTTTTTCTTTTTGGTACCGCTGAGCTAAATCCCTGGCCCTGGTTTTTTGTTTTTTTTTTTTTAATCGGGGATTGAACTTGGGTCCTTGTGTTTGCAAAGCAGGCACTGGAACCACTGAGCTAAATCCCCCACCCTGTTTGTTTTTTTGAGAACAGGGTCATGCTTTGTAGTTCAGGCTGGTCTTGAACTCACTGTGTAGCTCAGGCTGGCCTCAAATTTGCACTGATCCTCCTGTTCAGTCTCCCAAGTGCTGGGATTACAGGCATGTGCCACCACATCTGGCTGCTCTGTTAATTCATGGTCACTGGTCTCACTGATTTGTACACAAGGCATACTGAGGAAAAGGTGCACTGAATGAGTCAAGATGAGTGGCTTGTGAAAATAACAAGTGGGTTCTAATCTCTGTCCCTGTACCACCACCACGTAGCACCTGGAGCAAGGAAGGGAGCCAGGGTGTGTCCCCAGTAGATCAGCTCAGGAGGCTCTTTTGCTCTCCATGGCTGCTGAGGACATTCCCATCTCTCAGCAGTGTCCAACCCACTGCACTGCTCAGGAACAGGTGGTGTGGGTTCTGCACCTTATGCCTTCCTTGTCTGCCGTGAGTTTCTGGATGTTCTCTGTCCTTCATGCCACCATGTGCAGTGGGGTATGTGACCCCCAACTCACAGTGCACTGTCATATGTCTGCTGATGCTTTCACTCTGATCCTCCCTTGCAGACCTGCTGGATGACGGCCATAGTGAGGACCTAGTGCCCCAAAGCAGAACCCATGCTCTCCCAACATGCACCCTGGGTGGGCAGGCTGTCCTTCTTGGAAGAACCCGTGGGCTTTGTGTCCCAGGAATGTCCCTCCCGCCTTCACCTCCAATCCTCACACAGGAACCCTGGTGCTGCTGCCTGCTGCCTATGACTGACCCAAAGATAAGTCTTGGATGGGACAATTTAGTGGCTATGCAGAGTTCTGTACCAGGTTCAAGTCACTGCCCATCACTGGAGGCTCCAGAGCAACTTGGCTGTCCAATGGAGTCCAGTACAAAGCATGCATTGAGGTCATATTGGTGAGACCACCCCTGTCCCCTCGGTCAGTGCCTGCATGGCATCCTCCATCAGTCTCTGGCAAGGTCTATGGCATCCTGATGAAGCACAGGGCTCAGCACTGTCTCCCTTTTTTTCCTGGAAGCCTTAGAGATGGGAAGTGCAGTCCTGACCGATGAGAGCAACTATGTGACCCTGAAAGTCATGCTTCTAACCTGCTTCCTCTTCTAAAAAAAAAATCCCTTTTATCCGAATTACTATTATAATTCATGCAGATGTAGCACACAGATGCCTTCCTGATAGTGCCCAACACTGACATCTTTACGCATGTGTTCATCACCCCAGTGGGAGGATCTCCAAGCCTTTTTGGAAAACAATATTAAATAGCTAAAAAAAGAGTCCTGAGCACAACCCAAAGCACCAATCTACCTCTGTGATGCCCAGGGACATCCTGAGGACAGGCTGTATATATAACAGTTGACTAGTTCATGTTTTATCTCGAGCTGCTTCTGTGGTGGCAGCTAGGTCTTCCTCTCCTCTTACAGCAGGTATCCTTTTATGGAAGTTAACGGATAAGGCCCAGGCCTTGTGCGATATAGAGCTTTCTTTTCCCAAATTGGTAAACTCGAACTTGGCCGTTTCTTTTTTCCTTTTTGGTACAGGGGATTGAACTTGGGAACCTGTGCTCTTGAGGAAGGCGCGGTGCCACTGAGCTAAATCCCCAGCCTATGCACTTGTCCATTTCTGACCGCCCATGTCTCGATTTCTGTAACTTGGTCCCTGTGGAAGCTGCAATGCTTCACTATACCTGCTCAAAAAAAGGTCACCAAGGGGCCGGGGATTTAGCTTAGTGGTTTGGTGGCCTGCCTTGCAAGCGCAAAGACCCGAGTTCAATCCCGGGTACCAAAAAAAAAAAAAAAAAAAAAGGTCACCAAGACTTCTAGGATGCTATCTTCTGGCTCAGTCAGCATGGAACCTGCTCAAATGGTGCCACAAGCCTAACCCAGATTCATTCTTACTAAGTTCCTTTTTCCTTCTCTGGAATAATTTGATTTCTTTGATACAAAAACTTAGTTTATACCCCTGAAGATGCTGATGTTATCAGTCCTTAAAGGGACAGTAGGGTTGGTAAGCACCTACTGACTCAGCATCTCAGGTAGTTAGGGACTTTTTTTTTGGTACTGGGGACTGCATCCAGGGCCTTTATACTGAGCTGTATAGCTGTATCTCCCAGTCCCCCTTCTAAACTTCCCCTTTTTTTTTTTTTTAATTTGAGACAGGGCTGGGGATGTAGCTCAGTGGTGTGGCGCCTGCCTTGCCAGTGCAAGGTCCCGAGTATGATCCCTGGAATGGGGGTGGGGTGTGGGGGAGGATATTTTGAGACAAGGTCTAAGTTGCTAAGTTGCCTAGGCTAGGCTCAAACTTGAAATCTTCCTGTTTCAATTTCCCAGAGTGCTGGACTTACAGGTGTGTACCTTTATGCCTGGTGCTGGAAAGGTTATTTGCTGTTTTCATAGACTTGGGGATCTTGTCGTGGGAAAATGTAATTTTTTTAGTTAGACTTCACTGGGTCTGAAACACTCAGTTTTCTTTTTTACCTCGTCCTCAAGCATTAGTGTGCATCCCAGCCACACCTCATCTCCTCTTCCCTTCTTCCTCCAACTGAGACTACTTGGGAGCTTCGGGCTCTGGTGGAAGCACAAGACCTCATCACCCCAAATTTCCCTTTACAGAGAACGATTTGGGTCACCACCATCTTGCTGCACGCAAATGCTACCCAGTGGTATCTGAGACAGTACAGTATTCTCTTTAAAATCCAGCCGCACAGGTCTAAGTTATAGGTACCTTGCTTATAGGTACCTATGGTCTGCAGCCATATGAGAGCACCAGGGGTCAGCCCCAGGGTCTTTCCTCTAATGCCACCTGCATGTATGTTTAAGTCGTTCCAAAAGGAAGGCCTTGTGACAGAAGCCACAGCCCCAGGAAATAGGCAGGAAGGAAAAGAGAGAGGAAAGGGACATGTTCTGGCCATGCTGTAACTCACACCACCCGCGGCTGGCCGGCTCATAGGAAGAGGCTATTTGCTTTGGCAACACAACTTTATGGAGATGGAATGAATCCCATGTGCAGACTTTAGTGTTTGCTGAAGTTCTTCTCTTAGATTTGTTTCTGGACAAACTGATTACATCACTGAAAAGTTTTGGAACAAGTCTTCAGGGAAAAGGATACCGAGAAGAAAGGGAACCTTACACTGGAGGCAGTGACTAAAGTAGAAAACTCTGAATTGAAGGCCAGCCTCGGCCCCCTGGTCTATGTTCTTCCAGCCCTTCCTTCCTGTCTCTCCCAAGCAGAGAAGGTCCTGAATGCAAACTTCATCTCAGGATGCTGTCTATAGCAGTTTCATCAGTGTTAGGAGATCAGGATTGGTGTCACTTAGAGTGTGTGTCACCATACATGCCTATTTTCCTGTGCTTTTTACTGCTGACATATGGAACAGGGATGACCCCCTCATACCACACATCTACTCAGTCCATAAGGCCTCCTCTGTTGGCTTGAAGCAGAACTTGGCCCCATGATGCTCTCTAATGGCTGTGTCCCAGGCTTGTTCTGCATGCCACCGTGAGGGCAGGGTCCCATCTTTGCAAGAGATGTGACCCTGAGCCAGCCTTGTCATCCTCCCTGTGTGTGATCATGTTTTCCTGGGGGTTCAGAGCCTTGGTACAGTGTTCTGAAGGTCCCATGTGTCCCACTGGGGTAGGAGAGGATTGCTCCCTGCTCATAACCCCTTTCTCTGTTGATATGTGTTCTAAGCTGAACCAAACAAAACTGAAGTTGATTGACAATGGTCTTCATACAGATGAGTGATATGAGTGTGAAACTTTAATTACCTTTCCACAAGGCACAGAGGTAGAATTTCTGTTATTCTGGGAAAAAAGCAAATGAGGTACAGCCTCTGAACTGCATCCCAGTATGAGAAGCAAGACACTGAGAACTCTGCAAAACCAGACCAGTGCCATGTGCTGCTGAATTCCAACATGTGATTTTTCAGACTAACGACGAAAGAGGTGGAAATTTGGTCTGCTCATTTTTCCTTTGTGAACTGTGTTCATTTGTTTGGCTCTGCATTCACACCTCAGCTACTATCTTTATAGTTTCCAACTTAGATTTGCAGGAAGTAGGTAGCTATGTCCAGGTCATTTGTACATATATGAATTCGCACTTCTTTAATCAATATATCCACATGTATAAAAATGTTGGAAACACACACACACACACACACACACACACACACTCACTCACTCACACACACATATATTTTTTAGTACATGCATGTTTTGAAACCCAACTTTGCATATGTATTAAGAAATGCAGCTAACAATGGGGGAAGCAATACATACATTAAATGGTTAAAAGAGTCTACCCGTTTTTTTTCTTTTTTTAAAAACTGAGTCCCATTTATTGATGAAGGACTCTGTAGTCTACCCATTTTCAAAAAATACTATGCTGATCTTAAGAAAGTTGCCAAGGGGCCGGGATTTAGCTCAGTGGTTCTGCCACCTGCCTCTCAAGTGCAAGGACCTGAGTTTGATCCCCGCTACCAAAAAAGAAAAAAAGAAAGTTAGCCAAGAAATAGGGTACAGCTCAGTAGAAGAGCACTTGTCTGGCCTATTTGGGGTCCTGGGAGTAATCCCACGAACTGCCCAAAACAAAAAGTCACACACTAAAGTAACATGGTTAAGTAACTCTGTGATGTTGGCTGATGTGGGTAGGCAGGGGGAGCAGCTCTCAAGTTTGGTGCCCTGTCAGTGGCTAGGCCCCCCACCCCACCCTGGGCCTGAGGGTGCAGCCTGTCAGGGATGGGACATGCCATGTTCTCATGCTGCCGAGGGCAGCAACCCTGCAGAGAGCTGCTATAGGGCTGGGAGGCTGGGCTGCTGTCCTGCCACATCTACTCCAGGATGTCATGTTTCCAGTTTGTTTAGAGTTCAGTGCCTACAGTTTTTGTTTAAGTCAGACACTATCAAATGCCACTCACTGGGAGGGTGGGCCAGGCCTTACTCCCCAGCTCCCCATAGGTGCAGGAATTAATTCCATCTTCATACCAGAAATGCCAGTTTCTCAAGGACTAATCAGTGGGCCACAGACCTCTGTGAGTGCCAGTGCTAAGCCCAGCATGGTCCCTGGCATGTGAGTGGGTCTTGACAGGTCAGGGAATACAGGAACACAAGGCTAATGCAATTGGTCTTTAGGATTGACGTGCCCTTCCATGGACCTTGAAAGGCACCAGTTTAAATGGGGCCTCAACTATAAAGCCTATGATGGCGTTCCCTTTGTCTCTTTTCTCATCGTTCTATGCTGCATTTGATCCTGGTCCACGTGTATGGTTTGCCCCGAATCATTTAGTCAGCAAGTAATTACTGATAGTCCTTGAGGAGTCAATGGGTGGGATGAGCTCCAGCCCCAGAAGTCTGCCCTCCAAAGGGGAGGTGCAAAGGCCACTAAAGGGTAAATACACGAAAGAAGTAATGGCAGGAGGAAGCCAGAAAAGGATGTGCACAACTCTAAGCTGAGCCTCAAAGGACATAAACAGGTTTCCCTTCTTCCAGGGCACATTCAGGGAAGATGGATGTGGCACCTTTGAGGAAGAGCAGGAAGGGCCAGTGATTGAGTCAAGGAAGCTACTGGTGGCAAGGGAGATGCGGTATTAGGCAGGGCCACCAGAATGAGGCCTGGAGTCACATTCTAAGGCAAGGGAAAGCCACAGGGGTGTTTGTTTATTTTTGGTACCAGGCATTAAACTCAGGACATTGTGCTTGCGAGGCAGGCATGGTGCCATTGAGCTAAATCCCCGGCCCCACAGGGGTGTTTTAAGTATAGGAAGGACATGATGCATGTTTTATGAAGGTCACAGTGGGCTGTGGGAGCAGTGTGTTAGAATGCTGGATGCATCTACATCCTTAGCAAGGTAGTCAGCACAGCCAGCCTCAGGCTTAGAAACATGGAAATACACTGTCTGCTACATACCCAGCTTCTGCAAGTGCTTTTTGATTGCAGAATCTGAACAGCTGCACTTGGAATTATTGGCCAGTTTCACCGGGAAATATCCATACAAAGAATCCACAAAGGACAGTGCGGTGGCACACACCTGTGATCCTGGCACTTGGGAGGCTGAGGCAGAAGATTTGCTATGTGTTTGAGGCCAGACTGGGCTACACAGTGAGTTCAGGACCAGCCTGAAGCACATAGCAAGACCCTGTCTCAAAACACATACAAACAAACAACAACTACAAAAATGAACAAAGCACGTGTGACTCCTGCAAACATGATGAGATGATCCTAACCTCCTTCCCTCCTTCTGAGCTGGGTCAGCCATGCCCAGATGTTTCTGGTTGTTTTATGCCTTGTGAGTTTTCCCCAGAGGCAGCTTTCGGAACTGAACGTGTGTTTAAGCAGTGTACAGAGAGACTGTGTTATGTGTGTCCTTTATGACTCCCTGGTGCCGTGTCCAAGAGTCACCTCTCCCTGTTGCCACTGCTGTTCATTGCTGGGCTGTCTACTCCAAACGCACGTTCCAGAGGTAGCTGATCTGAGGCTGTACCAGTTCCATTAGTTGACATTCCTGGGTCTGGAACTGCAGGTGACAAAGCCATACCATCACATTCCCGCATGGCCTTGTCCATGAGGGTATGTGTCCTCTGCTTTGCATGTGCCAACACTTCAGGTTTGTTTTCTTGCTAACCTTTCCAGTCTGGTGATGTCATCCCAGTTATTTCTAGAAGACTCAAGATCAGCTATTATAATCAACTTCTAGTTCAAGTGTCCAGAGAAAATGATATCCAGACCTTCTCTGTACATCAGTGATTCAGACCAA